AATGGCAGGAAATCCTCAGAAAATGTGAGAGAGAGAGAGAGAGAGAGAGAGAGAGAGAGGCAATAGTGTCATGAGAGACAACCCATGCATATAGTTACATGAGACAGACTAAGAAAATATGACTGAGCAAATAAATGTGGTCAGAAGTATGAGCCAGTTTCTGTCCATCTTCCAGCATCTATCTTTTTTTTTTTTTTCTATTGGGAATCAAACTCGGGTCCTTGCACTTTCAAAGCAGGCAGCAGAACCACTGAACTAAATCCCTGGCCCCAACATCTATCTTTAATGTCTCTGTTCCCTCCAAGCACCCATTATCTGGAAAGAAAGGGCTTTGGAGGGCTGGGGATTTAACTCAGTGGTGTTGCTACTTGATTCACAAGTGCAAGGTCCTGAGTTCATTCCCTGGTACCAAAATAAGAAAGAAAGAAAGGGCTTTGGAAATAAATAAAAAGGGGCCAACACCATTGAAATAACAAGGTAGAGACATAAAAGCCACTTCCCTACCAGTTTGAGATGAACATGACCCCCAAACTTGGTGATGCAGAGAAGATAAGACAGGCAATGTTGTGCGTAGTGATGGTATTCAGTTAAGTGGCAGCAGAGCAGAGAACTGGAACGTTAGCAGACACCAGAGCAGGGGAATATACAGAACTGTAGGTAGTACGGCAATAACTGTATGATAGAAACAATCCCAAGTACATTCTCTCAGTATTTCCTAAGGGAAACAATGAAGGGGATTGTGTGATTCTGGGTTACTCAGCTTCTCTGAGAAGAAATACGTGGGCAATATTAAGTGTACTCTCTCATTGCTGGGACAAAATACCTGATACCCACAAGCTAAAGGAAGAAAGGGGTTATTTTAGCTCACAGTATGTAGAAGTTTCAGTTCAGATGGCCCTAAGGTAGAGCAGAGGAGCATGGCACAGGAGAAACAGTTTATAGCAAGGCAGGCAGAGAGTAGGAAACAGCAAGCTTGCCTTCCAAGAGTATTGGTTGATGCTACTCATATCCAGGATGGGACTTCACCCTTTAATAATCCCGTCACCCACAGCTACACTAACCAATCAGCAGACTGGACTAATCCAGTTATCACACCCATAATCTAATATCACATACACAGCCACCTTCCAAAAACCCACTTATGAGCCCTTGAGAGTTTTTTGGGGGGACATCTAGATATAAGCCAAAACTGCACTTTTCCTAGGTTCATTGTATTACATCATATAGTGAACTTTGGAAATAAATATATCAGTTGTTGCATCAATGTTAATTTATTAACTGAAAAAGGGGATCATTAACAGTTACTCCAATACTGGTCCTACTATTCTGAGAAAAGACCAGTCACATTATTGCCTCTGTGTCCTTGTGTTATTTATACCTGGGCTCGAACTCAGAACTTTGCACTTGCAAGGCAGGTGGTGGTACCACTGAGCAAAATCCCTGATCCTTATTTTTTATTTTTTTTTATATCTTTTCAATGGGTACTTTTGTGACCATCCTGGAATACCTTATTTCCTGTATTTGTCCCCTTCCTCATTGTTGATAAACAATGCTCAACACCCACAATTTAAAGAAGAGGTTTAATTTGGCTCACAATTTCTTGGAATTCAGTCCATAATCAGCTTGCTCCAAGGCAGAAACATCATGGTAGACAAATGTGGCACAGCAAAGGTGCTTAGTTCCTGGCTGCTGGGAGGCACAGTTCTGCTTCTTCAGAGAAGAAGGGGCCAGGGACCACAGACTGTACCCCAAATCATGAAGTACACACCCAGACACATCCACAAATGTGCTTTACAAATTCCCTCAGGCACTTTTTAAACCAATCAAGTTTCACAGCTAAGGTTAACCATAATATTCTCCTACTCTGCTTTATTTTCTCTGTAAAATATAGTTTTTTGTTTTTTGCTCTAAGGCAACATCTTGCTATGTAGTTCAGGCTGATCTTGAACTTCCTATATAGCCCAGGCTGGCCTTGAACTCATGGCAATCTTCCTGCCTAAGCCTCCTGAGTGCTAGGATTACAGGCATGCACCACCATGCCCCACTGTAGCATGTAGTTTTATCAAATACAAATAGACCAGATATTGTATTTTATCTTTTTGTTTGTTTTCTGCTTCTCCCAATAGAATATAAATTCCTTGAACTATGGTGCCTAAAAAAATGTTTTTTATTGTTATGCTGTTAGGTGCCTATAAGAATACCTAGCACAGAATAGACACCCAAGTATTAGTTTAATAGATTAAAGAAGTTTGCCAACCAGAGCATCCCTTTCCTGTTACTAGGCAAGTGGGAGGTCTCTGAGCATAATGATACCTTTTGCTAATTTCAACAGATTTCAAAAAGTACCTAAAGTCTCTACTAATCCTTTGAATAATTTAAGCCTGTCACTATTTATTTATTTCATTCATTTAGTCACTCACTGGTCATATCCCTAAATGGGCCAGACACTATCCCTGGAGATCCAGTGACAAAGTTTTATGGGGCTTATATTCTAGTTGGGACAGGGATAGAGTTGAGACGTGCAGAGGACAGAAGAAGCGTATGTCACCATATTGGGTATACTTTTTTTGGAGGTGGTTCTGGGTATTGAACTCAAGGCCTAGGCAAGTTTATGAGTTATGTCCCCAATTCAGGCATACAATTATAAGCCTCAGTTATCTGTATTCTCCCATATTTTCCTTACCGTTCTCTGTGTTATATCCCCTTGACTTAATTGACTTTGTTTTTTTGTTTGGGGGTTTTTGAGGCACGGTCTCCCTTTGTAGTTCAGATTGGCTCTGACCTTACTATGTAGCCCAGCCTGGTCTCAAACTCACAGCAATTCTCCTGCTTCAGCCTCCAGAGTGCTGAGATTACAGGTGTGCACCATCATGCCCAGCCAAAAGAGTTCTTATTGAAGTGATTTGTTTTAGAAAATAATGCAAAACATTAGACGTTAGAAAAAGAATTTTACTGGGCCAGAGATTTAGCTCAGTGGCACCACACCTTCCTTGTAAATGTGAGGTCCTGAGATTGATCCCCAGTACCCCCACCCAATGAATTTTACTTCCTACAGACATTCATTCATTAAAATCTTAAGAATCACTGAATGAGATCCTGTTTCTTTTTCACTGATTTTATAGATATTATTTACTACTTTAAGGTATAGCTTTTATTTTTAAATATTTTATTTTTATTAATCCATGTTTGCAATACATGATTACAATCATTGTGAGTTGAAAAGCGTACATAACCCATATTATTTTTACTTTCCCTTGAGATTATATTTAATAACTAGCACAATATCATGCTCTATATGGATACAATTAAGTACTGTAAGATACAGATTCCATTGTCTAGCAGATTGCACTTTTGTTAAGGAGACTAGACAGAAAAATGTTGAGAAGTTGGGTGCGGATGCTCATGCCTATGATCCCAGCTACTTGAGAGGCTGAGGCAGAGGATTACAAATGCAAGGAGAGTCTGGACAACTTAGCAAGACCCTGTCTCAAAATTTAAAAAGTACACTAAAAGTAAGGGAGTGCACCTCAATGGTAGAGTTCCCCTGAGTTTGATCCCCACACCAAAAAAACAAAACAAAACCAAAAAACAAACAGTGAGCTAGGTGTAGACATGCCTTTAATCCCAGCATTTGGAAAGCTGAGGCAAAAGAATCATTTGAGAAGCTGAGGCAGCCTGGCTCCATATTCAGTTAGTACCTAGTCTGAACTACATAGCAAGACTCTTGTGTCTAAAACAAAACAAATGAAAAACTCAAACCATGAGAATAAATAATACTATACAGAGATGTAGTGCTTCCATCTTATCCATATTCCCTTCCTAATCAAGTCAGTTTAGTTTCTCTTGTGTCCCTGACCACTCTGGATTACAGCGATGTCTGTAATCAACCACGTTTGTCTGCACCCTAGAATCTCAATCGGGCACATGCATGTGTGCTTGAGCATATGTGTGGTACTGGCATTGAACCAAGGGCCATCACCCTGAGCGATAGTCCCAGCCCTATTTTTAGTTTTTAGTTTTTATATTTTAAAAAATATTTTTGATTTTTACAGAGTCTTGTGGTATAGTACAGACTAGCCTTGAACTCATTATGTGGCCCAAGATAGCCGGATCCACAATATGTGACCAGGATAGCAGTGATCCTCCTGCTTCAGCCTCCCAAATGGGGGGATTATCTTTCACTTTGAAACAGGGTCTAGCTCAATCATTAAATTGTACAGGTTGGGCTTGAACTTGCAATCCTCAGCCTGCTAGAGTGCTGGGACTACAGGCATGCGCCACCACACCTGGCTTCCCCAGGCCTTGGATTTCCCCCCAGTTTCATCTTTTCTAGTATTCAGCCCACTATTTTCTTTCCTTTTGTCCACACGTTGTGGAGTGCTGGAGGGAATAATAATCTGCAAGGGGGTCTGAGCCGTGAAGAGGGTCATTTTATTCTTGGAAGACAGGATTGTTCAAGAACTAGGGTATTTATACGGTGTAATCTAGGCACCGAGACTGAAGGTTCCTAGAAAAGCACTTTACACAGAAGCATGACTTAAATTCATAGCTGGAGTCATTTTAACAAAGGCAGCAGAAACATAAGAGGCTTACGTATATTTGAAAGAAACCTGTGGTAAGAATCAGTCTGGCCAGAGGAGATCGCAGTTCTCGCCAACGACAGGTGACAGTCGTGATGTCATTCAGAGGCGTTTCCTGGAAGGCAAGGCTAGAAAAGGGGCAGTCTGACGGTACTACTTAACATTTCAAATTCCAGATACTGAAAAGACAGAGTCAGTTCATTTATTTGAAGGTAAAATATGCTACTCCTGGAAAGAGCAGGGTTTAAAACTTAACAGGCGAACTATTTGCTTTGTAGAGCTCCGTTGCGCGTTTTCAGCCCTAAAACATCCGGCTCTTTTCCTGATCCGCCCTATCCCTCCCACAAGGCGGGACCTTTCCGGAAGTAGCTGTGCGTGAAACTGCAATCTTCCGCCGGAAGTGATGTTAGTATCCCAGAATTCTCGGAGACAGTGACTCGCGGACCGGAGTTCAGCATGCTGCTGGGGTCTGGACCTCTAAGTAACGTGATCTGATTCTTCGCAAAAAGTGTGTTCCTTTGTCCTCTGTCAGCGGAGACTTTCGCGGCCCTTTTGTGGCTGCAGAAATCCCTTTTGTATACTGGTGTAGGAACTTGTGGCGGGCCGCGCGGCCCCTGACCAGGCCTCACCATGTTGGTGCTGTTTGAGACATCCGTTGGCTACGCCATCTTTAAGGTAGGAGGGAGATTGAGCAGTTGTGGGGGGAAAGGTCGGAGTTGGATAGGCGAGGGGCAGAATGACTTGAGGAGAGATCTAAAGTATTCTGGGTCGTATAATGCCTTTTAAATCCCGGGGCTCAGGAACTCAGTGGAAGGAATTGGGGCCCGCGTTTTGGCGAGCACGTGGTCCCGCGGTTTTGGGCCGTTTTGCTTTAGAGGGTTTGGCTCAATGAAAGAGCGGTATTCGAGTTATGCAGCCTGTGACAAGAGTTCGGATTTTGTTTTGGATGCTTTAAGGAGTAATCGAAAGCTTTTAAGCGAGGAGTGACCTGATGCCTCACACACCAAGTACTGGGGGCTTGAACTCAGTACTGAACTAAATCCCCGGCCCGATTTTTTTAAAGTTGAATAAAATTATTAATTTGAATAAAATGGAAAGTCCGTTCCTTTACTTTGTGATACATAAAAACCACTTCAGGGCTGAGGATTTAGCTCGGTGGCACCGCACCTGCCTCGGAACAGCAAGGCCATGAGTTCGATCCCCGGTACTGCAAAAAAGAAAGGTAGGGGGGAAGCACTTATTTCATTTGCTTTTGCATTTACCATGAAGAATTGCTACAATCTTGTGTGTGCAGCGGTGGGACCTACTGTGTGCCCCTTTCTACTTGACTTGGCACTGAATGCTGTGCCTTAGGCCCCTTGCCCAGCATATCTCTGTTAGCATGTGCCTAGTCGTGGCTCAGTTCTCTTCCCATAATTCTGTTTGGTTGATGGAAACTCTTGCATACATTGTGCTGTCACCCAGCCAGACGTTTACCTGTATCTTTCATCAAATTTTGTGATATGTTCTCAGCAAGCCACTTACCTGCATTTGATTAAGAGCAAAATGCAAGCATGACCATCCTAACTACAAAACATAATGCACTTTTGAGGGAGGCATGCAGATGATTACAAATATGTTCAGGCTGTTAGATTTTCATTAAAAACAAAAATATAAAAATTCTCAAGAATTCTCACATTTTATGAAATACATCTTAAGCCAGAATCATGCTTGAAAAAGGCTAACTTGGTTTACATACTGTGTGAGATTCTCTGGATTCCAAAAAGATGTATGTGTGTATGTATATATGTGTGTGTGTGTGTGTGTGTGTGTGTGTGTGTGTGTGTGTGTGTGTGTACGGTTTTTTATTGAATACTTCATTTCTGCTCAAAAAGCGGTAGATTTTTGGCTATGACTCATTAGAAGAAATACATTTTAGGGCTGGGAGCATATCTCAGTATTAGAGTGCTTGCGTAGTAAGCAGAAGGCCCTGGGTCACAACCCGATTTTTTAATTTTAATTTTCAGATAGTTTTGCTACTTTCCCCATGCTGGGCTCGGACTTGTAATTCTCCTGTCTCAGCCTCCCAAAAGGGATTACAGGCATACTCCCCTACCCCCAGTTTAATTTGTCTTTAAGAAGGTTTTGTTTCAAGACTAGATTGTAGGGAGGCAAGAAAAGAAGCGGGGATGTTTTTGCTTTAGTTTGGGCAAGATAGGATTGCTTAGATTAAGGTCAGTGTGGTGGAAAATACTGACTTTTTTAAAAGGCAAAACTGGTAAGTTGGCTGATGGGTTGGTTGTAGGGTTTTGGTTTAAGTAAGATGATTGTTAACTATGAAGGGTTTGGGCTGTGAAATCTGCATTGTCTGCTGGATGTGGTGATACAATCTGTATTTAAAATTTGAAGCCTAAAGGAGAAATCTGGATGATGATAACCGGCTTGAGACTTGATTGTTTTTATATAGAAAGTTTGAAATTAATTTACAATCTCATCAGCAAGGAAATATTTATGGCAGTGAGATCTTAGTACAGTTGAGATGTCATGAAATGTTGGAATGAGGTAGGTTGAGTACTTTTTATGTGCCAGGCAGGCAGAGGGCTGGGAACATAGGAACAAAAACAAAAGTTTTTGTGTTCTAGATTTATGTTGGTATAAGGTAAAAAGTGCTAGGTAAAAACATGTATTAGAAACAACTAATTATCTAATTGGCTGTTACGGTTGTCGCTGTTATTAGCAGGTTACTGTGAGACAAACTAGTATTTAATAAGTCAAGCTAGAATATATAGAAATACTATTTTGTTTATAATTTGGAATTAATATTAATCTTTCCTGAAATAAAATAGATATACAAAACGTTCTGGAATTACATAGTAATAGGTGCACAATTTTGAAAATATTGTACATTTAAAGGTGAAGATTATAGTGTGAATTATCTTAAAAGACAGTACAAGTTTTATTCTCATAATCTTAAAATGTTGGGGTGTTTGTTGAAAAAAATTCATGCTTGAGAAATGCATTTTTTTTAACCTCAATTTACATGGAGGAATATATTATATACAATTCAGTGTGCTCATATACCTTATTTTGAGACAGGGTCTCCCTGTGTAGTTCAGGCTGTCCTTGAACTCACTATGTAGCCCAGGCTTGCTTCAGACTCTGATCCTCCTGTGAATGCTGGGATGTGGCTTCACATCTGGCTAAAGATTTTTCTTACATACATCCCACATGTTCCTGTATATGCTAATTACTGAACAGTATAAGTTTTTCTAGCTTCATTGAATATACTGTGTACGCTACATTATTCATCTTGTGTGTTTTAGTAAAATGTATATGGTTGTATACTGGCCTTTACAGTTACAACTCACTTTTAGAACCCTTCATCCTCAGAAGTAGTTCTTTTTTCAGTGTGGTTTAGTTAGGTTTGGTTTGCTCCCCTCCCCACCTCCACTCCAGGGATTGAACTCAGGACCTTGTGCTTTTGCAGTGCCACTGAGCTACATCCCTGGCCCTTGGTTTGCTTGGTTTTGAGACAGGGCCTCACTCATAAAGCAGTTCAAGCTGACCTCCTGCCTCCTGAGTTAAAGGCACCACCATGTCCATCTTTTACCTGTTTTCAAGTAAGTCAAGTCACAAATCTAGTCACCCAATAATCAGCTGTTTGTATAATTTTATCTTTAAAATTTCATGTAAGCAGAAATATTTTAGTCTTTTGTGTTTGGTTTTTTTCACATTTGGCATAATTTTGGAGCTGATTGTTGCAAGTATTAATTTTGTACCCTTTTGAGCGATTTACATTTTAAATCATTCAATTATTGATTCATTCTGTACTCAAGTTTCACAAAACATACCTTGTTCATATTGTTTGAAGTAGAAACTAAAGTTAGCATAGATTAATAGTATTTAAGTAAAACAAAATCCTAAGTAGCCCAAAATGGAAAATGGGGCAGTTTTTTATATACTCATGCTATTTCCTGTTCATAAATTCATTCTTGTCTAGCACAGAGAAGGATGCTCTGGGCATATCTTGCACCCTGTGAAGGTTTTGTTTTGTTTTTATTTTGAGAAATTTCAAGTAAGGAGGGAGAAGACTGATGATGAACCTCCTGTATCTTGTCACTTAGCTTCAACATTTTGTGTTCAATATCACCTACCCTTGCTGAATCATTTTGAAGCAAGTCTGGACATTTCATTTTATTTGTAAATAGTTCATTGTGTGTCTAAGATACAGACAAACATAATAGCAGCACTAAAGATATATTGATAGCAATAGCCAGCTATACAATACTCCTTTGAAATGAAAATTATTCCATCTTAATCCAAAATGATGAAATATAAAATGGATTTTGTGGACACCTGTTTCAATTTCCCTGTCTGAAAATGAATGATTCTAAATTGCAGACAAATGTAAAAGAAAATCTAGGGTATTTTTTCCTCCATTTCAGTTGTCTTTATTAGTAATGTTCTTTTCCAAATGCTGAAGTTTTGTTGGTCTTTGCAAAACCATAGGTGGTCTTGAATCACCATGACTTCATTACATTTCTGTGTTGATCTTGACAACTGGTGAACTTTGGGTATGATTCTTAAATACTCTGAACAGTTTCAAAAAATTGATATTAAGGCCAGGGTGGACCCACGCCTTCCTCAAAAACACAAGGTCCTGAGTTTGATCCATGGTGGAGTGGGGGTTAGGGCAAGCTGAGGGTATATAACTCAGTGTGAAGAGTACTCACCAAGCAAGCTTGCAGTCCTAGGTTTGATCCTCAGTAACCCTCCAAACAAAAGTAAAAGAAAAAATTAGTGCAGCCTTAAATTTTAGTTGAATGACTTTGAATGTTTCAACTTCAGTATATACAAAGTGGAACTATTTGGTAGCCTTTGTTTTTTCCCCACACTACTAGAGCATGAACCAGGGTCTCCAGCATGCTAATGAGAGGCACACACTATGACAGTGGTGTTGAACCTATCCCAAGGCAGGCTTTTTGTATCATTGAAAGCTGTTCTAAAAGGTTCTGCATCACTGCCTGTGGCTTACAGTGTTTTTTTAATACTAACACTATATTTTGCAGTTGCTTGCTGCTTTATTTTTATTAACTTGTGATTACTCAATTTTTCTACTTTGATTTATTTTGACAAACTGTTCAAGTTTTGTAAATATGTCACATTAAATTGTGGAATCAAATTTTAACAATCAAGAAATCCTTAAAATAATCTTGCCATACTCATCTGAAACCTTAAGTTTTGTACAATTAAAATACTGGGTTTCTTTTATTGTTTAAAAAAATAGGGCTGGGGATTTACCTGGGCAGGGGGCACAGTACTTCTCTTGAAAGTACAAGGTCCAGAGCACTCTCCGTGGTACCAAAAAAAAAAAAAAAAAAAAAAAAAAGCCAGTTGTGGTGGCCCACGCCTGTAATCCTAGTGCTCTCCCAGCGCTCATGACAGAGGCAGGAGGATCATTGCAAGCTCAAGCCAGCCTGAGCTACATAGTTTAGGGCTAATTTGAGCTACAAAGGGAGACCCTGCCTCAAAAAACAAAACAAAAAATCTCTCTTAAGAATTCATGTGTAAATACTTTGATAGTAATAAAAATTTTATCAGGCCTGTTTCATAAAATTGTTATCTGCTTATTTTATTTCACAAAATTTAACATGCCATTCTTCTACAATGCCAGTTAGATCAACCTGTCATAAAATGTAAAATGTCTAAATTTCAGGGTTGTTAAATATAGGAGGAAGTTGTGTTTTAGAATTGATCTACCCTGTCCTGTACTTGGGCATATGACTTGTCATATACAGTATTGGTGAAGGTGAAATACTTTTTTAGAAATTTATTACTGGGTTTGGGCAAAAATAAATAAATAAATAAAAATTTAGTCCTGATTTTTATTTTATCTTATTTTATTTACTTATTTTTGTGGTTTTTTGAGACAGGGTCAGTATGTAGTTGGGACTGATTTAGAACTATGTATCCCAGGAACTATGTATCCCAGGCTGGTGAACTCATAGCAACCCTCCTGCCTCAGGCTCCCAAGTGCTTGGATTACAGGTGTGTACCACCACACCCAGCCTTTTTTTTTTTTTTTTTTTTTTTTTTTGGGGTCCTGATTTAAGTGAAACTGATAAGCTCTCTGAAAAGCTATTGGCAACATCTGTTAAACAAAATCTGCCTATTTTGCATGGTCAATTAACTCCATTCATGTAGTTTATTCTACAAAAGCAGTGTGTGTAGATACAAAAAATATGTTTTCTGGGGCTGCGGATTTAGCTCAGTGGTTCTGCCACCTTATAAGCACAAGGTCCTGAGTTCGATCCCTGGTACCCAAAAATATATATATGTTTTCTGGAGTTTTGAAAAGGGAAAATTAGAAAGTTTAATATCCATAAGGGCAAAAATGATGGTGTATTCATACAATGCATTTACATATGTCTATGCTAAGTATATCTTGCCATTCCTAAAAGTATGCATGAAAGTTCTTAAAGACCCTAGCTAGACCTTACAAGAACTGCTATTTGATCAAAAGTTTATGATAGGGAATAAAACAAGTTCATTATTTCAGTGAGAGAAATAGCTTTCAACAATTTTATTTGGTATGGACAGTGCCTAAAAAACATAGCTGTATATGCTTAAGATGGACAATTTGAAGAAAATTATGTAAATATTTTATTACAGGTTCTAAATGAGAAGAAACTTCAAGAGGTTGATAGTTTGTGGAAAGAATTTGAAACTCCAGAGAAAGCAAATAAAATGTAAGTAGTCCTAAAACTTCATATTTTTAATTAGTTGTGCATTGAGTGGGCAGCACCTTAGAATTAATGTTTTATAGATATTTTAAAACAGAATTGTGAATTAAGTATAAATTTCTGTCAAAAGTAATTGTAAGCCAGGGCTGGCGATGCACATCTATAATCCCAGTATTTTTGGGAGACTGGCAGGAGAATTGCTGCAAGTTCCAGAACCTTGTAAATACTGAACCAGGCAAGTGTGCTACCACACATTCCCATCCCTGGATTTAACATTTCACCAAGTTTTTAAAAGTTTCCTTGGGGCTAGGAGGAGGCAGGTTGCCCACTGGTAGTGTTTTTAGCATGTACAAGGCCCACAGTTCAGTCCTTGTACAGCCCCCCCAAAAAAGGTGGTAAGCCCAAGGAAATGGCATGTCAGACATTTTGGAAACAAATACAGAAGTGTAACATTCATAGTAGTAAAAGCCCCAAGTATTGAGAGATTTGAATAAATGCCATTTCACCGGGTAGAAATAGGGGTAAGGGTGTATTAGGTTAAGATGGGAATTACTGCTTTTTTCTTAAATTTTTGTATTTTTAAATACAAAAACATTTGTACTTGAGGGAACACCTGCATATTACCTTGCCAGGTAAGAAAATCTTGCTTAAGATAACGTAACTTCAGGCAACTAGTTTTTTGTTTTTTGTTTTTTTTAGTTTTTTTGAGACAGGGTTGGGTGTTAGTTCAGGCTGGCCTTGAACTCACTATGTAGCCCAGTGGGCCTCAAACCCACAGCAGTACTGCCGCAGCCTCCCAAGTGCTGGGATTACAGGCATGCCCCCAGTGCCCGGAAATCTAGTTCATTGTTGTCAGTGATATGTCCCTGTTGGAACTGAATCTAACTGGTCTAACTCAAATATTCGTCGCTACCACTGAGGCAACAATGAATTTATATACTTGATGTGTTTTTGTTTTGTTTTTGAGACAAAGTCTCACTTTGTAGTTTAGGTTGGTCTTGAACTCATTATGTAGCCTAAACTGGCCTCAAGCTTGTGGCAGTCCTCTGGCCTCAGCATCTCAAATACACCTGGGATTACAGGTGTGCCACCATGCCAGGCCTCATTTTTTATAAAATGTTACCTTACTCATAAATTTTCTAATGACATTTGTATTGGATAGGCAAATGTCATGAGATTTCAGACCTAAGGGAGACTCATTTTTTTTTTTTTTTTTTTAGTAAATTCTATACTAAATAGGGGTTTTTTTTGTTTTGTTTTTTGTTTTTCTGTAGGTACCAGGGATCAAGCTCAACCTTGTGCTTGTGAGGAAAGAGTGCCACTGAGCTAAATCCCCAGCCCTTATACTGTGTATGCTTTCTGTTGAAGCTTCATCTGTTGTCCTATGCATCCTTGAAAGTCTACAGCTTTCTTTTCTAGGCCAACATTGAGAAAAACTGTTCATAGTGCTGGGGATTTAGCTTAGTGGTTCCACTGCCTGCCTCGCAAGCCCAACGTCCCAAGTTTGATCCCCGGTACCAAAAAAAAGAAAAACTGGTCTAGTATGAAAAATGCTCAACATTGCATTCAGTTCCAGAGATAATGGATGTGCCTTGGAAACATCCAATACTACTTTCTCACAGTATAACTTTTGGAGAATCAGTGTTCCCCTATAACGTGTTTCTTCTCTTTTAATTCTAGAGTAAAGTTAAAACATTTTGAGAAATTTCAGGATACAGCAGAAGCATTAGCAGGTAAATTCAGAAACTAAAACCTTGCTCTTTTTTTCTTGTTAAAATGGTTGTTTGCTTCAGTTGCCTGAGTTAACCTTATTCAATGTTGTCAATGATGCATCCTTAATGGAACTGAATTTAAGTGATCTGACTCAAATTCGTCACTACCACTGAGACAACATTGAGTTAGCTTCTTTCACTATAGGGCTGGTTTCTCCCATGTGATGAGAGGTGAGAAGTGGTTAAATTGATTCCCCTGTGGAAACCAGCAGCATAATGCTGAAGCAGTTCAGTAAAAGCTATTCTACAGGGACCAAGGTAATGTGGTCAAGTACACAGCTCTAATTTAGTCCAAGGCTAAGTGGAGAATAGCCACAAAACTACTAACAAAGCTGTCCAGGGGTATAACACTTCAAGAAAGCATATCCATATTATTCAAAATTATAGAGAGAAGAATTTTTTTTTCCATTAAATATATTGGGACATTTAAGGCAAACAGTACAGTCACATTCATCATTGGGCTCTTGTGCCTTTACACGGTGTATCTTGGTTCTTATTATTTCACCATTCCCCTACCCTCCCTTCACCCTCAAGAAGAGAGGGTCCCCTCCCGCCAAGATTTTTTTCATACATGCTCAAACTATAGAGTGGCATAAGAATTTTATTTATATAAAGAAGTGTCGGTTTTTAAAGTTTTAGAGGTAATGGTTTAAACTGGCTGTCATGTGGGACAGTAGACAAAGTGATATATTTATTAACTATGAGCAACTTTAATAAATAATTACAGATTTTGTTTTGTTTTTGCTAAGTAGTAACCAAAACAGAGGGTGGATATAGTTGCTTAAATTGCTAATCAGCTAACTACTCCATGGTATAATTTGAAAATGAAGAACTGTAAGGAAGATATTGGCTTATGGTTGGGTAAGAATTTGACAGATGGAAACTTTTTTTTTTTTTTTTTTGGTACCGGGGGTTGAACTCAGGCTGTTTTGCTTGCGAGGCAGGAGGCAGAACAACTGAGCTAACTCCCTGGCCCTGATGGAAATAATTTGTTATTCAACCACAGGGGGAAGATAGAGTTCTCAGAGTGAAAATTGGGAATCCAAAAAATATACTAAAATGTTATAGGGCCAATTTCTTAATCAACACATTAGTAATAAGTGCCTTCTTCAGCTATAAAATACAAGCATATTACTGTTTCACTAAAGTTTTTTTGTTTTTGTTTTTGGTACTGGGGATCTAACTCAGGACCTTGCACTTGCAAGGCAGGCGGCAGAAGCACTGAGCTAAATCTCCAGCCCTAAAGTTTTTTGTTTGTTTGTTTGTTTGTTTGTTTGGTACCAGAAATAAAACTTGGGACCTTGTGCTTGTGAGGCAGGTGGCAGAACCACTTGAGCTAACTCCCAGGCCCTCCTGAAGAATTTTTTAAAAGACCTGTTTGCTACCACTTTCAGTATAGGTAGAGTTGTGGTAAGATCCCAATGAGATTGTTAGCTATATTCCAACTCTAGGAGGCATTGTTCGCATAGATCATGGTGTGATTTCTTCCTGGAATTGCCAGTACTGCAGCCCTTATCCCAGCTGGCTTCTGCATTCTTTTTTCATATCCCTTTCTTAATATGAGATGTTTCTCACAGTTCTGTCAAGAGAAGAATAAGTCCAGTCATTGCCAGAACACAAAGCAATTTTATTTTTTTCTCTTCTTGGTACTGGGGAATCTTCCTCTTGCAAGGCAGGTACAGTGCCACTGAGCTAAATCCCTGGTCCAGACAAGTTTTTAGCATTAGTAGCTAATGGATTGGTCCCAACATGATGCTCCGATTCATGCTCATGACTTCACAGTTACTATTTAATCCTTGAAACAACCCTGAGGCAAATATTTTCTCTGTATTACATGAGATGAAACTTGAGATATTTCTGAATTCACTTATTTCGAGTGGAGAAAATGCTTTATAGGTGAGAATTGAAAGTTAAATCTCCAGCTGGAGATGTTCCTTGGTATTAGAGTACATGTTTTACATGTGCAGGGCCCTGGGTTCAAGCTAAGAATCACCATAAATGAAAAATAAAGTTGTTATCTTCCTAGTCCAACTTACCTGTAAAGCAGACACTGCTCTAAACTGTCAAAGCCTTAGATTCTAACAGCATCTGGTCACGGGGTTTTATATTAGTATTTTTGGGTAAATGAATGAAAATAGTGAGCTCTGTCAAGAATTCAAATGTGGTGTTGCACTCCTATAATCCCAATACTCAGGAGTCTGAGGGAAGAAATAGCCTGGGCTACATTGAGGCTGCATAGCCTGAACTATATAGCATGACCCTGTTTCAAAATAAAAATAATGTAGTTGTTGAAACTACTTAGGTGCCTGTTGCTATTTGCTTTACCACAGAGGTGAACATCAACTTACTGAGTAGAGTCCTTTCCTGAGAATCTTCGCCCTGATAGTTAGTTAGAAGGCAGTTTTGAAATGACGCGACCAAAACTGATGGGCTGTGAATGTTCCAGCATATATTTTAAATCTCCTAACTTTCTTTTTGCTTATTTATTGAGGTTTGTTTGTTTTTTGCTTTTTGAGATAGGATCTCAGTATAGGTAGTTCTGGCTGGTCTTGAGCTCGCTGTGTAACCCAAGTTGGCCTTGTGGTGATCCTGCCTCAGCCTCCCAGGTGCTGGGATTATAGACATGTGTCACCATACCCAGCATCTCATAACCTCAGAGTCTGATGGTGTGTGATACTAAGATTCTGTACTAGTCTCAGAAGAGAAGTTCATATATGCCATTTCCATGGAGAGGTTTTGTGTCTCCCACCCTTCCCCTTGAACTCAGGACCTTGTGCTTGCCAGGCAGGCGTGGCCATTGAGCTACACCTCTGGTGAAAAGTTTGTTTTTACTCTTGGTCATATTTTTTATTATATACAATAATAAACTTCTTGATAAAGGGAAAATAAGTTTTTATACTAGATCTAGTGGAAAGGTTTTTTTTTTCTCTTAAATAATGAAAATGCTAGCTTAAAATTAAAAGTTATATGCAGTATTAAGAGGTACAGGAAGTTCAATTTGACATTTTTAATTATTAAAAGTTTTAAATTAATTAATGTTAGTGCTGAAGATCAAGCCCAGACCCTTGCTCATGTTGAGCAAACACTCTACAACTGAGTATATATGTCCAGCCCAAGGATTTTGAAACTTATATAAGGAAAGAATAAAAGAAAATTATTTTTTGCTTTGTTTTGTTTCTTGACTTTCAGAAATCCCTTTTTTTTTTTTTTTTTT